AAAGCTCAGAACTTTTTTGTACACCTAATATATATATACAAATATTATTTGCAAACTTTTTATAAATCGTACTTTCCATCCATAAATATATCCCTTAAAAATATATGGCAAAAATGCTAGGGTTTAAAAAAATTTTTTTTAAATATAAAATATGGCAATTGTATATCGTCAAAAGTATCCATCTTCGTGGAATTCGTCGGTGCGAGACAAAAGAAATATACGCACATATATACATATACAATTAACGAACATACATATATTTAGTTAGATATGCATACACGAAACCATCGGTTACGAGAACAATGTCAATAGCTCTTTAAACTCGTTAAATTTCTATCGACAGTCTCGAGCTTTCTTTATATTGATCGCGTATTAAAGCAAAGTCTAATCAGATTGCAGTAATGTAACTTTTAAACTGTACTTTAATTAATTTGTAACTTGTAATTTGCCGTTTAAACTCGCTCTCCGCGGATGTAACTAAATTATTTAAAATTTAAACATAATAGCGACAGATAATAAACATATATAATAGCAACGAATAATAAACATATCATAGCGGCGAATAATAAACATGTACGAATAATAAACATATAATAGCGACTAGTAATAAACATATACAAATACTTTGGATACAAAGAAGTTGTTAAAAAGATGCGAACGACCGCGAATACAAAAATAAGAGTCGACTTCGAGACACGGCCTATGTCAGACGGAATCCGAGTATACATTGTTATAATAACAGCTATAAATCAGTATCGAATTAACTTATTACCGAGACGCTAATTATTTTACTTTACCGATCAAATTTAGTCCTCTAAAGTGATAACCCCGACGTGTAAAGTGATAACACGAGTTGACTGTTTTTATTTTTAATTTTATTTTATTTTATTTTACCGCGGTGACGAACTTAGAGTGTTGAATTCGAAATTTAACGTACTGAATAAATCGATAGTGCGAATTGTGAGAAAAATATAGCAAAGATTATTACAAAGAATACCGCGCCGGCCGAGAAAGAAAAAGAGGTCTGTTTTCTGTGATTAAATTAGTATACACTTTTAGAACTTAAAGTAAAATAGATGTACGTTTGATATTTGTCGAAAGCGAGAAAGAGCTAGAGCAGTCTAGTTTCAAAGACATAGAGCATGGACTGCTCGATCGTATCTAACTAATATGGTCGAGAAAAATAAGAGAGAGAAACCGGCCATGAAAAACGGCCAATTTTTATCTCTTTTCACTTAACGATATAACGAGAGAGAGAATGAGAGGGAGATTGGCCGTCTTCTACAGATTCTTTCATTTTTGTCGACTATGTTACTTCTGCTAAATACTCATCTCTCAAAAAAGTAACTATTTCGTATTTCTTATTATCTAAAGCAATAAACAGAATAAAGTTTTATTGGTATAGTTTATTTATCTTAAATAATAGTAAACGATACTTGATAAATGAAATTATTTATGGGATGCAGTTTAAGTATATACCGGAATTATTCTATATTTTACAGATATACAGTTCGCATACTGAATAAACATTCGGTAGTTTCTTTTGATATCTACGCAAAATAAAAACAGGAGATCTAAATTAAGAGTATAAGATTTAAAAATAAACCATATAATACGTAAATATAATACATAATAGAAAAAGCAAATCAATTTCTACGTTTCATAAATTACTTTATTTTTGTCTATTTTTAATTTTGTTGCTTTATCATATTTCTATCATTTATATTAGTTTATTTTTTCAAATTTTTTTCATCTCCTTATATTTTCGGTGTTACACTCTTTACAAGAATCCTACGTACTACATAATGTACAGTGCATTTTTATGAAAAGTCGAATCTGCCGTACATTAAAAGCGATAAACGATAAAATTAAAAGATATAAACAATCCGTGAAATTGGAAAGCAGACCTGTGTTAATCACTGAAGCAATATGTAAAACGAAGTTTGTAACATTTTCGTTGACAATCCCATCAATATCACCGCCGACGTACATTACGTAAAGGATACGTTCTAATTCAGTGCATTTACTCGCCTTTATAATCAAACGAATTAACGCGCATTGGGATAGCGACGTCGATTACAAGTCGTTAATTAATATTCGTAGGAAGCGTGCGTCAGCGATTGAGAACTGCGTATTTTCGTTACGTAACGTGCGATAAGACATGAAAGCACGTGGATCGTCGGCCACGTGATTAGTGTCACATGCCAACAAAGATGTATCCTTCCGTTCATTCGGCCACGTGAGCATCGTTTCCTCTTCACCACGAGGTGAGAGACAATGACGATAAAATTACGTAACTGCAAAATCCTTTCCCAGTAAATTGCCTTCATTGATCTTTGCGAAGAAATTACGTAAAATGGTTCACTTGATACTCTTCATACAAAATATATATATTTTTGGATTCCTCTAACATAACTATAAATAACCAATTATAAAATGGAACTAAAAATATTTTTCAAATGTTAATAAATTACTTTGAATACTAATATTATTTTAGCGAGAAGTAGTACTGATTATAGTGTTGATTGTATACTTTACTTTAGAAATATTTGGCAGTATTGGATTATTAGAAATTACTTATGCTGTACTGACAGTAATACAATACACAGAACTACCAGATAGTATTTTTTGAAGACTAGATTGACTAGATATACTAATCAAATTATTGATATGAAAGATTATTGGAACTTAATTCTTGCTATGAAGGAAAAACAAAAGAGAGAACCTTATATATATTGAATATAATCGTAAAACTCGATCAGAAAATTTTACACAGCATAATATTATTTGTAAATAAATTAATAAATACACAAATAGTTTCATGTCAGGTTTAAAAATAAATATAACGATCTAATACCTGATTTATGTGCTTCGGTATTTAATCTTACTCTTAAAAGTTGGTAACAAAAAGTGTTATAAGGTTTATGCTTCCCCAGTCTTAACCGTAGTCTTAATCTTAGTCTTAAGAAAGTTCCTATCTTTTAACTTCAGTCCTTAAGATGAAGTTAGGACTAATTCTAAGACTAAGATTAAGACCAAAGCATAAACCATAACATAAAATTTTATTTTTATTGTAAATATTTATATCCCGAGCATTTTTATATTTCAATTATCAATTATTTCTTCGCCTAAATAGCATAGTTTTTATATTAATTCACATATTACTGAATCCTCAAAACGTATTAAATCGCTTTGAAGACAAGATTAATCATTAAGAGATTTTACACAACAGTAGCAATTAAGCTACTTTTTCTGAGATGCGTTCAGGGAGTTGTTTATCTTAAAATGAGATAAAAATTACAAAAGTGAGGAAATCACTCGAATATAATTTAATTGGTCAACACCTACCCAGGAAAAAATATTAATTTGCTGACTTTTATAATTATCATTTCAAAATACACAATCGACCTCTAAATTATGCCTAGATAACTCGGTATATACTTCTGTTATAATATACGTTACGTAAACTATAGCCTGGAGTTATTTGGATGTTCTTGAACGCACCCCTAGTGAACGCAACCGATTATTGGTGGAAATTTCTCTCTGGTGAAAAAAAAACACACTAGTGATTTTCATTGCTACCAAATGTTTTTACTGGCAGTAATCAAACTTAGTTTTGAACACACGGATATAAACTGTGGAAAACATAACCTATCTTATAGATGTTAACTCGCTTTATGATTCGACATTCAATGAAAGAATATCTATATTCGAACATAAAATATTGCGTTAACATAAATTATGTATATTTTCTGAAAATTTTTTCTTCAGAAAATTGAAATAAAATATTGACAAGAAGAGAGTACGAAGAGAAAAAAAACATTGTACTGACACTGGTATCATTTCAATCCTAAAAGAATATCTTAGAAAAAGAATAAAAGTGAAATAAGAAATTTTGATTATTACTGCTATATTGAATGTCAACGAAGATGCCAGTTTATCAAGAAACTGAAGTAATTGTTTTTATTTTATGTTATTGGTATAAATAATCGATATAAATCGATATATAAATTATTTTCTATCATTCAACTGCACTAAATTTTTTTTTCTCGCTTTCTCATCAAATTTTAAATATAAATCTATTTTATTTAAAATATAATAAGTTTATATTCAGCGATAAAAAAAATCACATCTATTATTTTTTATGAGTTTATTTAAGACTTCTGCTGTATCTCACACAATGTAAAATATTTATACAGATTAAATACAAAAATATAAATGAATTATGATCTTATCCTAAGTTTATGCCCTATATCTAACTTTTCGTATATATAACTGCTTCATGTATATTATTCTTAGCATTAATACAAATATCATATAGAAACGACACTTGTAAGATTCATTTTATTCTATAACATATTTCAGCAAATCCAAGCGCAAACGATTATTGTTATTCATCCAGGTTCTATGTATCTTCGTATGGGCCGTGCTTGTGATCTGAAGCCTATTACGTTACTACACGCTATAGCAAGAAGACGTTTACCGAATGGAACAACATACAAGGATAGTCTCTTGCCTCCAACTGTGACACTAGTAAATACTAAAATAAATGTGCAATAAAATCATATTATCATGTTTCTATCTGTCATTATCTTTGGCAGACAAAAGAGCTAACACAGGCGATGGAAGAATCTCGGCTACAAGTATCTCATACTCTTCAGTCCTGTTTACAGTCGGATGGGAGTCGAAGATATGCGACACCTCCGCAACAGATAGCAGCTTTCAATCGTAGATCTAGTCCAGAAATCTCTTCGCCCAGCAACATGAAGTGGACAATGACCAATAGTGATATAGTTATCGGTGATGATATCTTGTCATTAGATCCAGAGGAAGAATGCAATTTTAATATCCACTTTCCATACAAAAGAGGAGAGCTTAATATACATTCAGGTCCGGATGGTAGCATAACAGCTGTCATGGCAGACTTAAAAGTCATCTGGGAATATGTACTGACTGAGAAGCTAGATATCCCTCTTAGAGACTTAAAGCATTATCGGGCAGTGCTTGTTATACCTGATATTTATCATCGACCATATCTGAAGGAATTGACCACTCTGTTATTAGATGAAATTGGTTTTGGACGTTGCATTCTATTGCAAGTTAGTTGATATCCATAATGCATTATATTCTCCTGGAAAAATTCTCATCTTTTTTTATGAAATATTTTACTTATATAAATTATTTGGAATTCAAAATACCTCCTTTTTCAAATATCTTTTCATTACTGATAGGATCACGTAAGTGCGATGTTTGGAGCAGGTTTAGGATACGCGTGTATAGTAGATGTTGGGGCTCAGAAGATATCGGTATCCTGTGTAGAGGATGCAATCTCTCATAAAGATACACGAGTGCGTATGGATTACGGCGGGGCAGATGTTACGCAGACATTTCTCTGGCTTTTACAAAAATCCGCATTTCCGTACAAATCATGCGATCCTACCAACAAGTTGGATGCACTACTCTTAGAACAATTGAAGATAGATTTTTGTCATGTAGATTTAAATGTGTGTGGCTCACAGGAGAAAACGTTCATTGTCAGAAAGCCAAAACAACAAACGGAAACATATACCATGCAGGTATTGCCTTTTTAAAATTTATTCTTAAAAAAATAAATAATTATTTAGTACATTGAACTTAGTACATTGAAGTTTGTAACAGGTTGGCGATGAATGTTTAATAGCGCCTTTAAGCCTATTCCAACCTGAATTGTTCAGAATTACCGGAACGCATAATGTTCATGTTCAGAAACGATCGTTAGGAGATCCAGAAGATCCTTACGACGAAAACTATTTAAGAGAAACAAGTGTAAGTGATTGGTTTGTATTTCTCAAACTCCTAATTGATGTTTCCATTTTAACATATCCAAATTTGATTCAATTGCTCTCGATTTCAGAGACGTGGTATGAAAGAAACTCTGGATCATTCGTCAGAAATGCAAGAGGAAGCGGCGGCTGCACCTGCAGTTGTGGGCGACGATGAGGTTGTAGTTGACGCCGGTGATCCTGCGCCTAGTTTGTTAAATCGTGATTTGGACGCTCCTCGAGATTTCGTAATCCCGCAACAACTATTAGGTCTTGATCAAGCTATTTTGCAGAGTATCGAACGATGTTGTGAGTATAAACATATTTATCAGATAAGTAACCTGTAACTAAATAAAAATATATACAGTTAGTCTAATTTCTTTATAATAGCCAATGAAGATCTCAAAAGAAAAATGTATAGTTGTGTGCTAGTTGTTGGATCAGGTTTGAAATTTAAAGGTATCGGTATGTGGCTTCGTAATCGAATATCTCTTCAAACTCCTTACATGTATAGGCCTGGTAAGTATTTCCTTCAAGACTCTTAGTAAATCAATTGCAGTAAGTTAAACTAAACCATTAAATAAATTAATTAATTAGATAAAAAAATGCAATCAAAGCTTTATCTCGATGCCTCGTAATACTTCTATGTGAATTTTTAAATACATTTTCTAGTATTTCCGAAAAAGAAATTAGAATAATATCACATTAAATTGATCAATAATAATGCTAATAAGCATCGTAAAAATACTGCAAAGAATTTGTTGTGATTAGTATGTATTCTCCAGCTTCAATTTTAAGATTTAGCCTCAATTGTATTTGGCATTTTTTTTACTTATTAATTTATTCAATTAATTGCAGTTTGCTTACGATGAATGAAATATATTTTTTACACACTGCTTGATTTTTCTTGCAGAACAACTGGATATTATAACACAGCCGAAAGATATGGATCCCGGTATGACAACATGGAAAGGAGCAGGGATTTTAAGCTGTTTGGAATCAGCACAGGAATTGTGGATCACTCGAAACGAGTGGCATCGCTGGGGTATTAGAATATTGAGAGAACGATCCCCTTTCTTGTGGTAAAAAATATTTTTTATATTAACGATAGTATATGAGCAAATAGGTTTTCTATTTTTTTAATATCATATTTATCGACTATTATTTTTTTATATTACGCTACAACACGAGGTTGTACACAATTTATTAGGTATAGAAACATTTAAAACATAATTACCGAATATTATAATATCTCGATCATTCTAATTTTAGTCTTATCATTAGGGTGATATTGTATTATATCGGCTTCCAGTAGAAAATTTATATAAGTTAATACATTAGGCGTGACATCTACATAAACATCATCTCCCCCTTTCATATAAGCTTTCGTTAGTGCCTATAATCGTAATTTCGCACAATTAATCATCATTATTTGAAAAAATATAGATGTATAGACGATCGTACCATTAATAATTTCTGGAAATCATCATTGTTCGGAAAAATTACATCCACCACAGTGTGCTGCAAAGAAATTTTTATTTATTAATACTTTATTCTATGTTTTACTACAATACTGTCCAAGATTTGTAATTATAGGCATTTTTTTGGCAGTTTTATATGTAGTTTAATATTCATACCTACTATCTCCCTTTTTCTTAATGGAGATAAAAAAAAGGGAAGCACAAGTATGAACAGTACAGATATTTTGATAGTATCATTTTAGTTTGTAAAAATCAGACATGACAAAACTATAATATAATTGGAATAGGCACGGTCTATCTACAGATGTATTCGTGAGAGAGAGAGAGAGAGAGTATTACAAGAATTTCTAGAATTTCGTCGACGTTTATTGGTTGAAAGGAAGCTACAAATTTTACTTTTTCGCGTTTGGGAATTGTTTCTTTTATGTTTTCTTATATATATTTTTCTTCATAAAAATCGAAATTTGTCATAATAATGACGTTATATCGAAAGAAAAATTGACACTTATAATAAAGAATAAAATATTCACAGTTTATTAATTCAGGTCTAAATTAGTTTTTGATTGGAGCATATATATATGTATATAAAACTGACATTTTGTAACAATGTGTGAATAAGGATTTTGTCAACTACTTCAATATATCAATTTTTCCTTGAGTGTAACATCATTAGCATATATAATTTTCAGTTTCCATGAAAAGTACATAAGAAAATAAAATGATTCTCAAACAAGTGCGAAAAAAGTTGTACTTGTCTTTGTGTGGTTACAGTTGAAGAAAAAATATTGGAAAAATAATGAAGATAATAACACGTTTATGATTTGTTTGCGAGAATTTTTAATGAGGCTATACAAAAACAGAAATCCTTGTGATGCTCTCTCTTTCTCTTTCTTTCTTTTTGTTCAAGAATATATCAAAAGAAAAGCTGTATTATAGTTCAGTGATGAGGAGTCGCAACTTTACATACCAAATCATTCTTCATTTCGGAAAATAAATGTTTCACTAAGTTAAATTCTTTCTTGTAAGTTATGTTTGCGAAGGTTTCTGTAATATCCAAATAAACTTCCTGCATTTTATTCAGTCCATCTTTCTTATTTCTCAAACTGCAATAGACACAATGATACTAAAAAAAACTGATGAAGATAATGGAACTTGTGTATTGCTGTACTTACTATGCAATGTCCTCCTGGATATCAGAAAGCTTTTGCTGCTGATTATCGAGAAGCTTTTGCATGTCGTGAATCTCTGCCTCCAGCTCGATTAACATTTCTGCACGCAAGTCAGATGTTCTCAAAATTGGATAATCTTCGGGATCCATCTGTTGAATTTCCTTACGCAAGCTATCATGCAACTTGTTCTGTCTGATTCTCATATCATCCAGCGAACTGGATGATTTTATTGTGAAGACTTCATTGTTCGATAGTTTATTTATCAGATCTTCAATATTTTTTTCCTGTTCTTTATTTCTCTCTACCAGCAACTCGAAAGCATCTTCTAACGTATATTCCATATTTTATAATATAGATAAAATTCACATTTAACGCTGCAAATAACATAAAAAATGTTAATAGGGAACACAGCTTATAATAAAATTTTTAATGGGGTATTTATTGAGTAGCCTACACAATCACAAAAATTAAAAAAAATATATATATACTAATCGACGCGTTTTTTCATGAAATGAACGAATCTTACAGAAAAAAAATATTGCTCTGCTCCAGGAACAGAGATATTAATCGATTATTATTATTGAAATTTGTTATTATTGTTTATTATTATTGAAACCGCAAAACATCCACGATGTAAACAAATGCCTGCAAATGCACACGATGCTTCACGCTTATTTTCCTGGAGTGCGTTCTAAAACTCGACTCTATTAAGTATTTTTATCCTTGTTCAACATTCAGTGAATAAGGATAAAATAATACTCGGATTGTCGAACACAATTCTAGGAACATTCAGCATGGTGGATTGGTGCCTTGGAGCAAAGTGGAGCAAAGTAGAATGGAGTGAAGTGGAGTGACGAGACTATTGTTATCTGCTGCTTGTTAAAAATTGTCATGCTTTCTCATTACATAAGTAAACTTTTGCGTCGTTCGTATTCACGTGCAATCTCGAATTACCGTGGCTTCGCCTCGACGAACGTTGAAACAGGTATTTATTATTCTATCATGAGCCGGCTACAATTTTTAGGTTATCTTTTTACTGTGCCACGGATAACAAAGTTGAAAATTGTTGCTGTATAATTGAAATTATGTGATGTAATTATTGCTTCTTCACTTTATCCTTTTATATATATATCATAAGTCATATTCATAATTCTTATTTTTTTATTCTTTGTCATTCAAGCCCTACACATAAACATTCCTAGTATTATTCCGTTATTAATGTAGAGCATATTAAGTCTTATTGTCTCTTTCAAATTAATTAAGATAGATTTATTGATCTTTATGTATATACTTTTTACAGATTCTACGGAAAGAGATCCAGCACTATTCTTTTTTAATAAAGAAATTCAGGAATGTCTGCAGACATTAACGACACTGGACTATAATAAAATCTTTCGGACTCGCAAAGATGGACACAAACAAGAAGTACCGCAGTTTAAATTCCTGACAGATGAACAACTCAAGGAAGCTAGGAAAGTGGCAGAATGTAGAGCGAAAGAATATTTGCAAATGCCACCAGTGGTAAAACAAAGATTGGAACTATCTGAGCCGTTATATGAGGATCCTGCGCTGCAGGATCACGATAATGTTAAATACATCTTCACTGATATCACATACGGTCTTAAGGATAAACAAAGATCAATAGTAGTTAGAGAACCGGATGGTACATTAAGACACGCTTCTTGGAAAGAACGTGATAGAATGATACAAACCTTTTTTCCAAAACCAGGAAGGGAACTACAAAAACCAAAGATGTTTGAAAGCGAATATTTAAAGGTACATACATTGTCTCTAATTTGTATCTAATATCTTTGCTGAATTTATGTATATAGATTTAATATTTTTAAAATCCGA